TTTTTAATTGTTTGTAACAATTTTTTGATTTATATGAATATTATTTTATAATTTTAATTAAAAAAATTGTATGATCCAAATTTGTTCTCAAATGTTCTCGCGATAACAAAATGTTCTCGATTAAACGCTCGTTTCTTTCTTTCTTTCTCTCTCTCTCTCTCTCTCTCTCTCTCTCTCTCTCTCTATATATATATATATATATATATATATATATATATATATATATATATATATATATATATAGCATTAGTATGATTTGCAAAACAAAATTCCAAAAAAAAACGAATCAATGATTTATTTTTGAGATGATTCATTAAATTTGTCCAAAAAATAAATCAAAACTTGATTTAGTAACAATGTGAATCATCAATGCTTTTCCGGAGATTTTTTTTATAAATCATGTTATTTTTGTATCATCTAATAATTTATTTCGTTGACCGATCAAAAAAACATTCAAAATGGCGCACTTCTTCCGAGTTAAATTCCTAAAATTCAAAAATAAAGGAGTTAAAGGAATTCAATGACTTTTGCTACATTGAATGGTATAATTGTCATTATGATCAAGCAATGACTTTTGAATATGAATTAATTTGTCAATCATATAGATTGAATTACTTATTCATTATTTTGTTTGTATTTATATCAAAATTTTACTTTAAAGAATGTTTAATGTTTACACACTGATATATAATTTTTTGCAATCAACACGTATATTATATGGATCTCTCACCTAATATAACATACAAATACATCCAATGATCACCTTCCACCTCAAGCGGTTATAATTTCACTACATTTTTATGTTTAAATATGAGTAAGCTAAATTTATGATAATTTGTTTTATGTTTATTATGTACTTCAAGGAACTTTAAACTTCATTCCAACACCCTTCCATTTTAGGTCACTCCCCAAACCTGTAAATCACACAATCCATTTCTAATCAACATATAATAAGCCAACAATACACTCGGTAACCATACTTAAAAGGGTGAACTTTTTACCTGAACTCTACCATCGGAAGTTCCTGTCACCAATACATCTTCATTGCTATCAAGAGCCATGCACATAACCTTACAATTTGTACCAATTTGTAGCGTTTCTTTTCTAGTTAGTTTGTTTCGATACCACACTTCCACGATCCCCAGTTTGCAACCAAAGTAAATAAACTCTGAGCTAATCGCCATCGACCTTACTTCATTTGTCAGCGAAATAGACTCCACCAAACGATAGGTTGAAGCATTCCATATCTTTGAAAAAGATCCAAAATAGGAGTAATTTCAAGAAATAAGTAATCAAACATGTTAGATAAGTGGAGTACAACATTTTCTTTCCAAAAGAACACTTAGGAAAGAAGGGAAACTCCAAAAGTGTCCTTGAGAGAGATGAAAGACTAAACGTGGTGAGTCTTTATAACCACGTTAAGTACGTGGATTCTTCGATTTTCTCTCCAAAAGTGTCAAGAGAGACGAAAGACTCCAAGATATAGAGGAAAATGGGGACCATGTCTAGTGAATGTTGGACACTAACATACCTTGAATGTGGCTCCTTCTACGGATGAACTGGTTGCGTATATTAGTCCTTCATGAACTTGCAAGATATTGACTTGGTTCCCTTTAGCTAGTAGTTTTCTCACGCCACTTTGTATTGAAGTTAATGTTCCTGATGACAAGTCGATTTCCTGAAAAAGTTTATAGTTTGATTATAACGAAGTTCTAGAGGTAAAATAACATGGAATCACAAACAATTTGACACCTGAATGCTATTATCCAGACACCCAGAATACAATCTTCCATTCACAAGAGCCAAACACTTAACATCTTTGCTCGGATTCAGTAATTTTGATGCTCCATTCCATGAGTTAACCTTGATTCCAGCACCTTGAGGAATAAAGCACGAGATACTGTTTGCAACTAGCAGATTGTTAACGTGGTCCTTCACATCATACACTTCTTCGCAGTGAATTGTTTCCTGATTGAAAGACCACTTCTGCTCAATGGAAACAGAAAGAACGCATCAGAATTGAAAGATTTTAGAACCAAAGGTCTGAAGAACGCTTTCTTACCCTGATAGTTTTATCATGTGAGCCACTGTATAGGGTATCTCCCGATGGTAGAACAATCAAGCTAGTGACTGCCTTTGTATGTTCTCGACTCTCTTGAGTAAGACGAAGAACACTACCTTTACAAGCCCAGATCTTGGTCGTTTAAGCAAGAATTCAAAGAAATAAACAATTTTTTTATCAGTAGTACGTAATGGAAGATGATACATTTGGTTTTATGGGTATATTTGATAAACAAAAGTACCTTAATCATACCATCTGAATGGCCTGAAAAGATATTCTCCTTAAGACATACTATCGATAGAACAACTCCATTAACACTGCAATCTTCTTGGACTAACTCTTTATGATTCCATAGTTCCTGATGACTCGAAGAACAGGAATCAAATTTTGCTTCTGATTATAGTTCTAGATTATGAAAGCAGAAAAAACTCGAAACTTACTGGACTAGATTCACTCTCTTGAGAAAAAACTTTAAGCATTTCGGCTGCTACTGTAGATGATTTCTTGAATTCTCTCAAACCCTTACGAATATCCTTCATGTAGATGGTAATATCGCGTAACCCATCTGAAAAAACTCATAATACATCAGGTTTAATATCAATTGTACGTAGTTTCATATTCTTAATTTCATGGACGCATTTTCTCAATTACGCACAGATAGATGCTAACCCGGATCATGGATGAAGCTGCTAAGAGCAAGCATGGAAATAGCTTTATCCTCTGTGTCTTTTGCGGATTTAAATATCGACACAAATCGTTTAAGCAAGCAAACACGTGCTGTTTCTTGAACTCCCGTATCAGGAAGAAACGCCATCATGTGTAGAAGCCAGGCTGCAGAAATAAAGCACCCGGAACACGTTTCTGCATATCGACTCTTCAATCCTTCTGATAACGCCTCAAAAATAATCCCGGACTCATGGTTCACTAAAGCAAATGCCATCTTTCTCTCCCATTCTTGGGCAGCTTTCTCCTCTTCCTTGGTTTCTTGAATGTCTCCAGACATGCCCTTCCGCATTGAAGATCTGTAAGTCTTGTCAATCCCGGAATGTTTAAGAAGAAATCTGCGAACCAGAGGCTTCCCAGAATATGAGAATCGCCCTTGGAGTGCCAAAAGTGTCTCGGAAGCTGCAATTTGAGCAGCAGGAGAGTCTGAGTTCTTGAGACACGATATAAGATTATCTATAGCCTCTTCTCTGAAGATACTCATCTTTCTTGGTTCAGCCTACAATGCAAATCTGTTAGGTGCTGTTTGTTTTTTCGAAACGAATATGTCTGAAGTCTGCGAGGGTGGATCAAACGGTTGCAACATTTAATAAAAAGTTTGTTTGTTTTTTTAACGTCTGCAGACTACTGCAGTAAGTTAAAGTAAGATGTGAAGAGGTTTGAAGCAGTTGGTCTACTGCTGCGTCACGCAGCGCACGCGCAACAGTTTTTAACTTAGCAGTCTTCTGAAAAACAAACAGCTGTGAAGGGCTAAGTGTTGCACGTGTGCTGCGCGACGCAACAATAAGTGGTCCGAAGTACAAAAGTCTTGTGGCCCAACTTTAAAACTTAAAATGGCTAGGGACTAACGGTGAATATAAAAAACTATTGTGGCCAAACTATAAAAAAACCCAAACTCTTTACTATTCTTTTCCACTTTCTAATTAGTATATATAATAACTAGGGGTGAGCAAAAACCGAACCGATTAAAGAAGAACCGATAAAACCGCAATAAACCGAAACCGAAAAACCGAAACCGATTCAAAAACCAATGGTGCGGATTTAATTTTTGCAAAAACCGAAGGTCAACGGTGCGGTGCGGTTTCTATCCTAAAAACCGGTCCATCAAAACCGAACCGCACCGCAAGCATGTATAGTAATAAATCAATCAACGTATATTATATACATTCTATTTAAAATAGTTATAAATGATAATATATTTATTATATGTTTATTTTGTGTTTGTATAAAACTCTATGGGGTGCAAATGAAATGTTCTATTGTTAGTCAAACGTACTAATCGATTACATGTAATAAACTTATAACAAATTAAGTCAAAATCAACCAACCTTCCATCATTAATTAGTTTGTAAGAGTGGTCACAAGTTGTATTTTAAGCGACTTACAATTTTTGATTATATAATTTTGTTTTGAGCTGAAAATGAATGTATTAAAAAAAACAGCATAATACAAGCTTATATGTACATGGTTTTCAGTTCTTACAGTTTTAAAAAACCCGCACAAAAAAACATAAAAAAACTGAACCAAATTCTTAACACGGTTTAAAAACCGAAACCGAACCGATACAAACCGAAACCGCATTTAAAAACCGAAAAACCAAACCATTGCAAAACCGCACCCAATGGTTTTAAGAATGCAAAAACCGCACCCAATGGTTTTAAGAATGCAAAAACCGCACCATGCGGTTTGCGGTTCGGTTTGATCTGAAAACCGCACCAAACCGCACCATGCTCACCCCTAATAATAACATTAAGAGCATAAAATATTTTGCGATTTGATTTTTTGCATATAATAGGATGGAGATTATTTATTTGGAGCATGCGGCACAATAAGATTAGACAAGACATGTGTCCAGTCTAAAGGTGATAGATTCTAGATTCTTGCTTCAATGCCAATTTGATTTTTTATATAAAAAGAGTCCTTGAGGAGTGTACTCCAACATGTATAAAGGTGGATTGGACCATATTAGATACTAATTAACATGTTGAATCTTTGATTTTCTCTGTAAAGGACCCCTTAAAGAGAGTTGTTAGACTTAACATATAAAGATGCATATATCCTTCCCTATATACATTCATATCTATGTGCTTAAATGTATATGTAGTTATATAGAAGGTGAGATTCGAACCAGAAGGTCTAACTGAAGAAGGAGACCAGCCACTATCGGGCATTGATCAGGGAGACATGTCTGTAGATATATGAGCAGTGTATGCATTGTACTAAAAGTGCCTTCATCCTTTATGATATTCAGAACTTGATCATTGAATGTTCTCCTAACAAAAAACAAAATCCCAACTCATCATACCTCTAAAACACATATTATATCTGAATTCAATCATCGACACGTGTCAGCAACCAAATACCTGTTTAGTTTAACCAATTCCGAAAGAAACAATACAATCTCAAACCGCTCTCTATCATTGGCTTCAAGAAAGCTCTCTAGAACTGGAGCAAGTTCAGCCTTATCAGCAACAACATGCCTGCACTTTCCATCTTCCTGTATGCATCTCAAAAGTATCCTCACCGATGCGATTCTTTCTTCTTTCCATTCCGATTCCAAGCTCCTGATAATTCCTTCAATCGTCTTCCCGGAAACGAGACTTCTAATGACTTCGGAAACAGCACCACCATCTTCATTTTCAATGATCTGTGCCAACAATAACACAGAAGCTGCTTTCGGCTTCACACACATCTTCACAAACTCATCTTCTCTCTTCTGAACAACACTTAGAAGAGAATTCGCCATGTCCATCTGAAGAAAGATGGTCATCGAAGGTCTCAGCAGATAAATCAACACAACTGCCTCAAACAAACCTTTCTTGAAAAGCGAAATTATACATTCGACATCGGAATCAACCCTAGTTAGCGTTGAAATTACACCGGAATTTCGTATACCCACCTCGGAAAGGAGAAAAACAGTGGCTTTTAACACGCGGGTGTCGACAGAATTGAACAAAATCTCCACGAATCCATTAACAACAGGTGGTTTCGAGAGCACACTTTGTATCTCCACTTCCATATTCCCTTCTTGCCAAAATCTTTCAATACGTAGAACTGCTAATTCTGCTTTTTTTAGCACTTGTGAAGTACAAAGATCGGTAATCACAAGTCTGAGCTCATTAATGGTTCCATCAGTTCTTGGTTGAGGGACGTGAACATGTTTGTTTTCTGGATATTGAAGCTCATTGGTGGGTGTCAACTCTTTCCAGCTAGCAATCAGCCTCTTGAGTACATAATTTGTTTTAGGAAGTTGATTGTTGTGAAGCTTTTGGTGCGTAATTGGACAGGTGGTGTTTCCTCTATCGATCCATTGCTGGATAGCTTTACGTTCATAAGTCTGACCAGTTTCGAGAGTGACTGGGTCGTTAAATATGCGTGTTGTTATTGGACACACAAAGTCTTTAGGTGGTGTATGCTTTCCAATATCTTCCATGAAAGAACCAAAACAGGCAAAAAAGAATGACGCCACAAGAATTTATGAAAGAAAAAGAACATGTAAAGCATGAATCCATCAACGCCATTATTAAGACAGACAACATTTTTTCTTGGGAAATCAGCCAGACGATGAAGAAAAGACTGTGTTTTTTCTTGTTATTATCGATTAGCACCTCTATTTTGGAATCAGAAATGTTTTCTTGAGGAGATTTTGACTAGGAATCTTAATCCGGTAGTGCCGGTTTCTTTTAAAGATGATCTCTGACTAGGTATATAGAGTCTTGGTATCATCTCAACAAATGAATTTCATTATCCAGATAAGTTAATAACTTAATATTTGAACACCTAGAATCTTGATCAGGAGAATGCGAACGATGGAAGAAAGGCTTTCTTTTGAATTAACGTTGGTATCATCTCAACTTGGTATTAATAAAATTTAATATGAAAAAAGAGAAAATTTATCAAAGGACGTGTTTGAACATTTAACCATGAAAAATACAATTTTATTAAATGATCAAGACTTCCGCAAAGGGGGCCTCTGCGGAAGCCTTAATCCTATGAGGAATCCGACACGTGGACAAAAAGACAAAAAAAAGTTGTTTTGATATCATTCTGTAGAAGACGCCTTTGTGGAAATGCGAATAGCTCTAAGGAAAAGGTAGCTAAAAGCCTTTAACTTTTTAATGATAGTTCCGCAGAGCAGCCTCTGCGGAAATGCGAACACCTCTTCGGAAATGTAAATGTTATGTGGAAATGGTTGGTGTATGTGTTTTAATGACGTTTTAAACCATTTTTAGTTATTATCCGTTTTTAGGCCTTTTAGTGACTAAAAACCATTTTTTTTTCTTTTGTTTTTGTGAATGCTTTAATCACTAGAAGTTGTTTTTTCAGTGTCTATGTGGAGAGTGTTCTGAAAAAAAAAAAAAAAACAAATTTTATTATTCTGTATATGGGAGGGTTGTGACAATCAGTTAATAGAAATAAGGTTTACGTTAGAAATCATATTAAAAACTACGGTTTAAATATTCCTTCTAACCTTGACCACCAGATGTTATTACAAATGGTTAGAAAATAAAGCCGATGTGTTTAATAGTCATATATCTTTGACTTTTAAACACCCGGACTGTGGGAATTTCATGGAGCTTACAGATGAATCATATGTAGTTCACCTGAGACATGTAATGTCTGAAGAAAAGCAAGTAGTGATTTTGTATTTATCCGTGCTAGGTGAAGAAGTTGAAGTATAGCAGCCAATGGTGAACAACCAGTTTATTATTGGAGCAAAAAGTAGTAGAGGCCGTGGAGAAATACAATCTAGTGGAAATCATTCCCGGAGACGAGGAAATGACGTGGGAGTGGGTTATCAAAAGAAAGCTTCAATTGCTGACAAGTTTGTATCAGATAATGATAAAGAACCAAATTTGTGCATGACAGAATTTCAACAACAAAATTTATTTGAGTTTGAAGAAGTACCTAATTTTGATGATTGATTATATGATGAAAAGTCAAATGAAGAATAGTCGAAAGATGAGTACACACAACAGAAAATTGCTTTTAATCCCTGGTATTGTATTCCACGTATTCTTGATTGTCCAGAACCTATTCTTGATTCTGGACCATTTCACAGTTTAGGTCTTAATGATAAAATAATTTTGAATCAAACCTATATCACCAAAAAGACCTAGCATCTGCTGTTAAATTCAAAGCCATTAAAGAAAAGTTTTAGATTAAGGTAGAAAAATCAACGACATCTCGGTACCAGGTTGTTCATTTGTAAAAAAAACTGTCATTGGCGTTTATATGCAGCTCTCATTAAAGGAAGTGAAATGTTTGAAATTAAGACGTTTAATGATGAGTACACATGTTCTTCATTACTTTTACACGTAAATCATAGGCAACCAACAAGTGAAGTTGTGGAACCATAATACATGACATCATGGGTCAAGGTAGTTTGAGAGTTTGGAGGCCTAAAGATATAATTAGAGATATGAAAGCGTTGCTAGAAATTAATTTGAATTATTCATAAGCGTGACATGCTAGAGAATTTGCTATGAGATTGATGAGGGGGGCCCCCAAAGAAAGTTTCTCCAAAATTCCAGTTTATTTTCACAACTTGAAGAAACATAATACTTGGACTATAGCATAGATACAAATTGAATTTCAGGATCACTTCGAGTATTGTTTTTTCGCTATTGGTTGTGCAGTATATAAATAAATTAAATTTAAAACTTTGTAAATATATAGTGTTTATAAACAAAATATATTGTTAATATATTCATGTTTTTTACAAAATTGTTACAGATACATGCTTTCAGAGGGTTTTGTAGAAAAGTTATTATTATGGATGGTGCCCATCTAAAAGGAAAGTATAAAGGCACCATATTGCATTCAGTAGCCATGGATGGAAACAATCAGATATTGCCTATTGCGTATGGAATTTGCCCAAAAGAGACTACGCATTCTTGGACATGGATTCTTGAACAACTACATGAATACATTGGTGATTTGGAAGGTCTGACATTGGTAATGGATAGGGTTGCATCAACTGCCGTAAGTATTCAAAATGTTTTTCCAAATGCTCAACATTGCTTGTGTGGTTTTCATCTAATTGGAATCATAGTGCACACCTTTGCAAAAATAAAAAATAAAAAAACAAGAATTTTGTTTTGGCTTGTAAGAGCTTACAAGACCACTGAGTTAGAACAACATTGGGGGAGACTTTGTACTCTTAGACCAAATGTAGCAACATACTTTAGTGAAATTCTACATGATAAACGGACTAGATCGCATTGCCCTACCATGAGGTACGATTACTTGACCTCAAACAGTGCAAAGTCCATGAATGATGTATCAAAACATGCAAGGAAGTTGCCTATATTACAACTTCTTGAGTTCTTTTTTGCGCTTATGAAGAGATGGTTTTACCAACGTTGGATGGCTGCAGGTATGACTAAAATTTTGTCAAATTATACAATAAATGTAATATATAATTTTATATCATTGTTTTAACAGAAAAAAGTACAAAAATACTGACAAAGTCGGCAGAAGTTATGGTTAAAAAAAATAAAGATGGGGTAACAGGATGGTTAGTATCTGGTGTTGACAATGCAACATATCAAGTCCATGACTTCAAAAGTGGTGGCATAGTTGATTTGAGGCAAAAGACTCGTTCTTGCAAATATTGACAACTAACTCGTTTGCCTTATGGTTATGTGATAATGATTTTAACGCACTTGAAAAATAAAACTAATTGTGCGTATATGAATAAGGGATTGTAACATCACCCTCTAGCACGTATCATAATATTGTCTGATTTGGGCTCCCAACACGAAAACCTCACAGGGAGTCACCCATCCCTTAATTACTCTCGTTGGGGCACGCTTAACTACTGAGTTCTTTTGGGATCTGTGGCCCTCATTGCTTTTAAAACGTGTTATGACAAGGAAGGTATCCACACCACTTATAAGGAGATGTTTCATTCTCCTTCCAAGTTGATGTGGGATCAGGTGCTACCTAGCTTCACTCCCTGTTATAAGGTTCGACGTCCCTGTTGAACACATTGTCATGTCCCCATCTCTGATACCATTTGTAACATCCCCCTCTGGCACATATCATAATATTGTCCGCTTTAGGCTCCTGGCACGAAAACTTTCCAGGAGGTCACTCATCCCTGAATTGCTCTCGCCCGGGCACCCTTTACTGTAGAGCTCTTATGGGATCTGTAGCCCTCACGGCTTTAAAACACGTTGTGAAAAGGAAGGTATCCACACCACTTATAAGGAAATGTTTTGTTCTCCTTCCAAGCTGATGTGGGATCAGGTGCTACCCACCTTAGTTGTAACATCCCGATTCCCAAGTATGAGGTTTATGGCTTAAAAGGTAATTTTCCTTTTTGAATTCGACTAGTTGAATGCCTCAACTCGATGTGTTGGAAGCTTCCTAACTCGGCGAGTTGTTGAGAAAAACTCGAGGAGTTGCTGGCTGATTATGAAATCCTAAATTTTAGGGTGATGCAATCAATTTAAAGGCCTTATGGCCTTTGCATCGCCTCCTTATCCACCCCCTCTATCTAGGAAACCCTAATTCATGCATTTTCTCTCATTTTTGTATGTGTGTGAACTTGAGGAGTGTTTCTTGGTGTTCTTTTAGAAGGAGTTTGAAGTTTGAAGAAGCTTGATCGAGAGGAAGGCTGTAGATTTGGGATCTTCTCTGCTATTGCAACCATTTTGAGCTATAAAGTCAAAACCTTGACCATTTATTGCTTAGATCTCCTCCTTGGAAGTTTATTGTCATTTTTGGTCCATTTAGGAGTCATTCTTGGGTTTGATCATTATGGAAGTTGCCACTTCAGATTTGTGGATTTTGTGGCCACTTATGCCTAAAGTTTCAAGCTTTATATAGATCTAGGTTTCCTTAATGTTATATGTCCTTTGCCAAGTAATTTTTTGAGTAGTTTAGCCTCTTGGTGTCATGCATGGACGTAAAGTTAGCAACTTTACGTGGTTTTCCAGCTATTGGGTACCAAATCTACATTCTTGGGCGTTAGAAGGGATAAAAGGGGCTAAATAAGATAAGTTGGTAAAACTCAATGAGTGTTTCTGACAACTCGACGAGTTAGATCGGGGTTTTCCCGCTTTCTTGAAAACTGTAGGAACTCGATGAGTCACCTAGAGGACTCGGTGAGTTGTCTCAGACTTTTCTAGTTTCTCTAAGTACTGAGGATACTCGACTGGTTGGCATGTTCACTCGACGAGTTGGGTTGACCTTGACTGTTGACTTGACTTTGGCCATGGTTGACTATGTTTGACTTTGAGGTCATTTTGGATATTTGTAGGTTTTGATAGAATGGTTATATGGTGGTTGTAGGCTATCGAGTCCGGAGCTGAGTCTTAGAGTTAGATTTTACCGGTTCAACACTACTTGGGATGTGAGTCTTCCTCACTATACTTATGGGTCAAAGGCACCAATGCCGACCCGGTTAGATTGTTATCCTGGTTT